TTGGGTGTAATAGTATTGGCTTCTAGGATCATCTCGATCAAGACTCTGGTAAAAGTCAGTATAGCAGGCTCTACAAGTAAGGGCTTGCTCTAACTCTTTGAGGGCTTCAGGTCTCTGAGGATTCTTACAAGAGTAGCAATAATGGGTACGTCTATTGCTGTGGAAATATTGACACTGGGTCTCAACTTCATTTGGGTCGCAACCACATTGAAAAGTCTAATTCTTATACTTGAGAGGGGCTAAAGGACAATCTACTGCAATATGTCCTAATAAATTACACTCATGACAAGTGTTATGGAGACACTGCCGATAGAAATGTTTAGGACTCTGACAATTCCTACAAGTGTCTCTATGAGAGGCTTGAAGTTGACAATGTACGGCTATATATCCTGTCTGGTGGCATCGGTTACAGGTATTATAAGGGCAATTAGCAAAAAGATGCTTTGGGGATTTGCAATTACCACATACTTGACAAGAGGTAGTACATCGATGAGGTTGGTGAATAGTCCATCCTTCGTTGTCTGTTTCTTGCGCTGATTCTGGAAGGTTAACAGTATAAGCTTCATGAGGTGTAAGATATTCCTGTTCAAATAGCTCAAATTCTTTAGGGTCGGTTACGGTAGACTAAGCAGGTAAGGGGTGGTTACTCTCATAGGTGGTTGGAACTGAGATTCTTTTATTTTCCCACTTAAATGAATAACAACCATTATTCCAGTTATAGCTGGCTTCAACTTTCTTAGACCAATCATTACCAAGAAGTAATGAATATGAGGTAGCTGGGACAACCTCTACAGTAATTGGGATGGTAACTCCTTCTATCTCTAGCACCAATACTTCCCAGAACCAAGAGTCTCATCGTTGTTATTATTGTGGACGAACTAGACATCTTATAGCCAAATATAGAACAAGACAAGCAGAGCAAAAATCTAGAGATGATCGAAGAGATGATAGAAGAGATAATTATAGAAGAGATGATTACAGAAAAGATGAACGTAGAAGATCTCGTTCCCATAGCCGTGATTGCTCTTATAGAAGTTCTTCACAAGACAGAAGAAATTCTAGAGAAAATTCTCGAGAAAGAAGCAGATATTCAGACTCT